ATATTAAGACGAAACTAGCATATGTGAATTTAACAAACAGAGCAGAGAGAATAAAATCGATATTTGTGTGGGTTCACTTTAGACAAACGTTGTTATAAATTTATTAGCCCCATAAAAACCGGATAGGGTATTTTATTACAAAAATTTGGATCTGGAAACCCAATAAAACATCTTCGGTACAACTAAGAGCATTCATTTGTCGACCACTGGGTTTTACCTTAATAGTAAGCACCCATTTTTGATATAAATTAAAAAATCAATTAAGAATGCTTTTTACTCAACGTCTCCTGAAAAGAAATTGAGTTCATATATAAAATATTAAATACTCTCTACTGATATATTAGTCAGTAGAAAATACATTACATATTTGAAAAGTGAATCTCGCCAATTCCTAAATAATATTTGTGTAATGTAAACAGGACTCGCTAGAAACATTATGGAGCATATGAACCGACGGAAGTAATGATATTTAGCATTCCGACACCTTTCAACTCATTTATTCAAAAAACGGCAAAAGGTGGCTCAGAAGTAAGGCAAACTCACGAAGGCAACTCTTGTAAATATGGCTCAAGATAGCAGTCTGCTTCCACTTCTGATGGGAAATTCACATCCTACTGGTGGTCTTTCAGTGGTCTGTGTGACCTACCAATATGTGGGTACGCACTTCTCCGAACACCTTGATAAGAATTATCGCTGAAACTCTCATTTACCAGGCGCTTGGTTAACCTCTAGTATCGTTTACATAAAGAAATTATTTTTCCAATAAAATTTCTCAAAAATTGATTGAATGTAATCTTATCTTCTCCTCTAGTGTGAGCCAACAGTGATGCAACATTGTTTAGTGCCATTTAAATCACACTTTCTATGCCATCAATATTGTAGCATAAGGGGGTGTGCGATAGACTAACCACCACGTGGTGCAACCTGGGCAACGTATACTCATACGGCAAGTAAGTCTATCACGTGGTGCACCCTGGGCAACGTATACTCATACGGCAAACAAACTGGTGCACCCTGGGCAACGTATACACGGCAAAAGAGTCCGGGTGCACCCTGGGCAACGTATACTCATACAGCAAAAATGTGGTGCAACCTGGGCAACGTATACTCATACGGCAAAAAAAGTCAGATGGCCCTAAACCGGCAGTTGACTTCTGACTTCAAACTACTATGGTCCGACTATAGTTGACTTCTGACTTCAAACTATCATCACCCCACTGCACTGGTCATATTCGACCCCTTCCACAGTACTCATCTTACCTTTTACTCTACCTTTGTGTCTGCTGCCTCTTTTAAATCTGTGAATCGCTCTTCCGATCCCCACCTCTCGACTTTCTTCTACTTTGATGAACCTTCCTTCTGTGAAGCCCGAAGTCAGCTAAATGGCTAATGATAGCTATCATAACGCCTGCCATTTGAAATAAATTAATATTGTAGCATAATTGTTTTGTTGTGAATGAATATCATTTGATAACCTCAAAGTTGAGTAACGAATGGTCTCTTTTTGAAGCTTTTCGTCTAGACACTTGGAGGCGTCTAAAGAAGAAATTGGCCACGCGACCGTTCACCATACTCATTGTATTTCTGGAACTATCCTTTCCAAAGTCTAGGTAGTGCGATGAAATTGGGAGAAACTGCTTTTATTACCGCGAAATAGCCAAACATAGGGGGAAAAGATAGGAGAAATGAAAAAAACCCGGAAATGCTCACAGAGTTCTTTCTCTTCAATCTACTAGAATTTTCAAGCCAGGCATCCTTTTCGTAGTTTTAGTGCTTTTGATGCAGTCTTTAAATAAATGGGCATAGCATTAGTATTATAGAAAATAAACGGAGACCACATTAAAGGATTTTGGTTATGAATACCGAAGAATGGGCACCATCTTGGAGGACACAGCTGTGAATCAGCAGAAGCTCGATGAAAGTGATTATGAAGGGGAGTCGAAAACTGTCCGGGAGGAACAGACAGGATAATTTTTCGAACGCGCAACTCTCATCACTGTGCTACTGAAGTTCACTTCCACGAGCAAAAGAAAAAGAAGGTTCTTCAGTTCCCCCCAGTATTGGCAGTCCACTAGACGAAGTTGGGTTAGAAGTTCTACTAAACGTCAGTTTGCGTTCGTGACGACTATTGATAGGATAGTTGGGTTGCAACTGGGTTCTCCCTCTATCATCATTCCAATTTCAATGAAGACAAGGAACCTTTTAGGTCGTCCAACACTGAAGCCAACAAATTATAGAATCAGAAGCACTTCTGCTAACGCAAACCAAACAGACTTAGACCTTATGGATTTCAATTTGTTGAACGAATTGAAGCTTTTGAAGCATCCGATTTCTTGCCTGAAAATTTTCTCTCACTCATGTGACAGAATCGAAAACCAGCTCAATGAAAGTTTGTAAACGGAATGAAACTCTCAGGTGGGTTTCTAGCGTAACTGGCAATAAAGCCGATGCGTTATTGGAAGATTAATAGAACATAATATGATGGTTTTCTTTGGCTTTCTGAGACAACCTGGGTCGTTGCTTGAAAACGGAGGCAAAGCCCTTATTGAAAAAGTGTGCAAAACTACATTACCGTTCAGGGGTGTGGGATAGACTTACCTCCTCGTGATGCACCCTGGGCAACGTATAATCATACGGCAAAAAATGTCTATTAACCGGCAGTTGACTTCTCACTTCAAGCTACCATCACCTCCACTGTATGCATATTCGACCCCTAAACTGTACTCATCTTACCCTTTCTGAGCCTTTGTGTCTGTCTGTTTCTTTTACATCTGTGAATCACTCTTCTATTACCCCTCCCGAATTCGTCTCACTTTGATGTTACTCCTTCCCTCTGTGAAGCCCGAAGTTAACTAAAGGGCTAATGATAACTATCGAAACGCCTGCCATTTGTTATAAATAAATATTACCGTTCAAATACCACAGTTCCCTCCTCCATTATACAAAGTGCAGAGGAAGAACTGATATGTCTTTAAAAGTTATGTCTTTTAGCCATTATTCCACTCCAAATTGGTCGCCTCTAGTGCAATTATATGAAGGCAGAGTAACGTTGCTCGATTAAGCGCTAATCTTTACATCGGTAAGATAGCTACAATCCATTTATGCATGCCCAATTCTTGACGGCTCATCCGCTTTACGAAGTAAGACTTACTAGAAACTTTTCTGAAAGTCTAGTTCGAACTAGAGTGCCGTGAATATCCGATCATCAACAGGCACCAGGGGTTTGCATTAGTTTAATAGAATGCCGTTCAGAATGAAAACAGTCCCAGCTATCTTCCGGCAGATAAAAGGCAATCTTATCAGTGGACTAAAAATCGAATCTACTTAACTGGACCATATCTCTATTGCTGAGTGAACGAAGAAAAATGTCAAAGAGGGAACAGAACGTCTGCTCGAACGCACTACTGATTGCTTTCATTTGTTGACAAATAAATATGGGTTCTTCAAGTAATCCATAAAATTCATTGGCTTCATTTTTGACTCGGAAGGTCACCATTCTAATCCCGAAAGGATATGCCAACATTAACAAATGTCCAAACTCTTCTTTCGTATCTGAGATAAATTAGTTACTATGGCATCATCCAACCTCTCCTGCATAGTTCTGGTTCTAGTGAACCGTCCCCTCCGGAAAGATACACTACCCAGTGCTGGCCTAATAAGTGTTTAAAAAGCTACGGTCAATTTGTGCAAACAAAATGGCCATCCTCAACCTTACTCTAGTTTAATTGCTAATGAGAGGGCTATCAAGTAAATAGCATTTGGCAATTTCACTACAATCAAGATCTGTCTCAAATGTCAGACTACTGATAGAAGATCCATCCCCTAGAACCCTCTCCAAAGGAAGAATAAATATTAATTTGTCGATCCTATAAATGCCAACGCCTATTTATTATTGATGAATGAATGCAAACTTGTTGCTTCCGGCAAATATTTGAGTCGCATTAGATCCACTTCCAATTCTGCAATAAAAACGCATCTGACAGCTTTCCCGGCCTTTCTTAATAAGCCATCAGCAAACTGGAAACGATAAAATTGGCCAAAAGCATGACGCAACACAAGTGGTAAGCAAGATGCTACGTTAATATCTGTAACGCAGTTCTCAAGACTTCATGCCATTTCAATATATCACAATCGTAAACACACAATACCCATAGGCAACGGGTAATTTGTATAACTTGCACTTAGAAAAATTTTCCGAAGTTCATCTGAATTACAGTCATTCGCATCACCTGCAAATTGCGCCAACCCACGCCATATCTCCAACTAGGAAGGTGAGTGGCGCCATTTCCAACTCTTGCGTTTGCTCAATTAGTCAGAATCCTAACATCTCAGTATAGACTTGCGTTTATAAAAGTATGATCGCCTGTGATCATATAAAGCTTTTAAATCAAAATAGAGTTCCACTGAAAGGGATTACCGCACTTTATACAAGGCTAATTTAAACTCAATTACCCGCTATGTCAATGACTTTTAATGTTCGTTAACCAAATAACCTAACAGAAAACAAAGATTAAGCTCAGACGAACCACAAATAAATAAGAACATATAAGAACAAAAATTTGCAACAAATCGAAAAAATTCAGATGTTGCACAGCCTACCCAAAATTTTACAGGCACAGAGAAATGCTGGAAACTTAAGAAAAAAACTGTTCTAATAAAGCACGTCTATTACTTGAAAATCAACAATCAAGAACGTAAAAAAATGCGACCATAGACAAGATGAAACAGTGAATGACAATTTGGCGGTGAATAAAGTTAGAAGTGAACAAATATAAGTAATACCTAATAGCCCTAAGTGAACGAAATTCCAGATTACTCTAAAGGCAATATAAATAAAAAGATAAAACAATATACGCATTACACAAATGATTGATTGGGACAAATATCTTTATTCCACCGAATGCGATATAAATGTGACAATAAGAGCAAGTGGGGAAATGCATTATGCTCACGAAAATAAAAGAACCACCGAAGAATAGTTCCAGCACATCCTCACTTGCTTACAAATCTTCATCTTCATCTGGCAAGGGCACTTGCGCAGCAGCCTAAGAGAAAGTAAAAATTAAAAACGGAAGTACTGAGTCTTACCAGAAGCTCGCTTTCTATAGATTGAGCCAGATTGGGGTCCATTTGAACATCTGGTGGGGCAAGAGCGGGCATAGCTGCAAACTCGAGATTTGGATCACCGAATAGCTTTCGCGCAAGCCAAAGGAAGGGCTTTTCAAAATTGTAATTAGACTTAGCAGATATATCATAGTACTGCAGATTCTTTTTTCTGTGGAAAGTGATGGTTTTCGCCTTAACTTTACGATCCTTAATATCTACTTTGTTGCCACAAAGGACGATGGGGATATTTTCGCAAACACGAACTAAATCACGATGCCAGTTAGGAACGTTTTTGTAGGTGACACGACTGGTAACATCAAACATGATAATAGCGCACTTCCCCTCAATGTAATAGCCATCACGAAGACCACCGAATTTTTCCTGACCAGCGGTATCCCAGACGTTAAACTGAATATTTCCACGATTTGTGAAGAATTTTAGGGGATGAACCTCAACACCAAGAGTGGCTAAGACGGAAATAAGGAGCAACTGATCACTTACCAACATATTTTTTCTCGAACTCCCCCGTTAAGTGACGTTTGACAAATGTAGTTTTACCTGTACCACCGTCACCAACGAGCACCAACTTAACGACAATCATTGGTTCCTCCATTTTATGCAAGAAGCGTAATAGTACAGCGCACCTTAAATTTCAACCAGTGCGCGTAAGATAAAAAATATGCTTAAACATCACTTATTTCACATTTTATAATACTAAAATATATCATTTATGTACCATTTTAACTATTATTTAACAATTTACGAGTTTTTATATTCTTTTGTTAAGATTTACGGATATAAGAATTTAACTTTTTTATTTAAACGAAATAATGTTTCTTAATAAATCAATAAGCGTTAAAATCGATTGAATTAATATTTAATATCACTGTGTTTGTTTTGAAAATATGCTGTTGCCATTTAATATCGCAGTTCTTATTTTATATTTACCCAACACTCACAAATTCACTATGTTACTTTACACTAAAATAAACTTTGTGAAATTTTGATTGTTGTGATATTTAATAATTCAATAAGTTTCATTGACACACACACGCATATATATATATGTATGTATGTATGTGTGTGTGTGTAGTTCCTAATGATCTAATAAAGTTAGGGCATAAATCGTGACATTTATGCCATTCATAATGCCTTTACTTAAAAATTCAAGCATTTCTTCCTATAGCTTAATATCACCTTTGAAATCAGGTAAAAATAAAACAACATAAAATTGCAAAAATGCGCATTTAAATATTAATAAATCAATTTCAAATGGCAGGCTTTGCAATTGTTATCAGTAGCCCATTTGCTGATTTCAGGCTTCACAGAGGGAAGGGACATCAAAATGAGAAAAAGTAGGTAGAGGGATCAGAAGAGTGGTTCACAGAAGCAAAAGAGATAGGCAGACCCAAATGTGGAAAAAGATCAGATGAGTTCAGTGGAAGTGGTCGAATATGACACGCAGTGGTGTAATTGTAGCTGCAAGTCCGAACTTAATTGCCTGTTTATGGAATTTTTTGCGGTAAGAGTAAGCATTACCCAGGATGCACCACGTGGAGGTAAGTGTTTCGTACACACATGTTATTAAATATGAATTACAAATAAAGAAATTTGGCAATAATGTGTACCTGGAAAGTAAATTATAATTTGCCACTGTTAGAATAGAAAACCTTTAATTTAACTTTAACTATAATTTAAAATATCTAGATTACAAAGTTAAACCTCGAAAGGGTATAAATATGACTGATGATTAAACAATATATGTTGTATTATAATATCTATATTGTTTTCAAACTTGATATTGCTTATAATTTATCACTAGTAAAATGAACTATAAACTTTAGTGGAAATCTGACAGCAATGAAATGTAATCAGTGCTATATTATCAATGATAGAAATGTCGGAAAGATTTAAAACTCCAGAAACGTTGCTTAAAAATTGCATACTTACCGACATTATACAACGGAACAACTATTTAAAAGGCAATATTAACTTAAAAAATTGTAAAGAATACCTAAATATGGTTCATAACATATTCCTAAGCAAATTATATTAAAATTAATTACAATATTTCAACTCATCTTAAGTCAGTAGTGCCATATCAGACAACAGCATGTATAAAGAAACGCAGCGGCAAGAAGCAAAAATAAACCCTCTACATATTGGTTTACGTTTATATCTAGTAACGCCATTTAATCAGAATTTAATAATTGAGTTTTTCTTTAAAACATGCACTGATATACATGCGCGTTGAAAATTAAGCGCATAGAGAGATAAAAGATAAGTGGTAAATATTACAATAACTTAGAAATACAATGGATTCAGAATTAGTACATGAAATGGTGGCTTTAAGCTTATATCACACTAATATAAGTGTAGAAATCACATAATATTCAAGGCCGTCGAATTCAATGTTAATGTGAGAGCTACAAGTAATACTAGAAGGAAATAAATAAAATTTATTCGATAATTTCAAAAATTCAAATTGCAAGAAAAATTCAACATGACTGTTAAGCTCTGATCTTCTCTGGAGCATACTGTAACAGTCTCTAAGAATCTCTGGGGAGCTGAGTTTATTGTAATTGCTATCAGAAGACGCTATTCAAAAATAGGAAGCGCACACAGAAAATTCGATTTATATATTTTGAAGCTTCCAGTCAAACTGTGAATAATTCCGGCCGAATATAAAATAATTAGTTAATGGAACACAACAATTCCTAAACTAGCATTAAGCTGTGGGGTACACGTTACTCCACTATGCATAACAGATGCCTTTTTCACTGGTATCAAATACAATTAATTATAAAACATATTTTATTTGTCTGCTTATTTACTCAAAAAGATAATGCAAAATCATTTAGAATCGTGTTTTCTGCAAATAATTAAATTATTTTAAAGTTTTTGAATACAGACAAAAAGTGATTCATTAAGAGTGAGAAAAACAGATTTATGCGACAAACTACCTTCGAAATGATTTACTCGATGGATTAACAGCAGAAGCAACCGCATGTTTTGATAACAAACTAAATAGTAAAGCAATCCACAGTGTTATATTGTAAGAGTAAACAACAAAATATATTGAATCTAATAAAATTTATTAATAGACATTATTATTAGAAAATATCGTTATATGAAAAATTGATAATTGTGATTAATGCAGAAAAAATAGGAGTGAATATTTTGGATCTTCAATTTAATTATTTAAGATCCATCTAATATATTTCGATGTTCCATTTCTTGCCTATGTAGATGGTGTGATGGACAAGGGCATTCATTTAGCTAACCTCGGTTAGCTAACCTAAAATAAAATCTAATATAATCGAGTATTGTCTTTGAGATTTAATAGTTAGCTAAAAAACAAATAAAAGACATTTTCTGGAGTTTCAATACATTCGGAGATCAACACATTTAGCTTTAAATTTTAATTTATTGCTACTTTAAGGTATTTATTTGAACGCGGCTATGTAAACAGATGAACTCTTGTGCAATTGTATTCTGAGCGGGTTGTTTTTTAAGTTTAAAATTAAAAAGAATAAATTAATCTTGAATTTGTAAGGACAGATATCCGGTGAAGACCTTGAATACAGTGGGCAGAACCCTTTACTTGGTGAACTTCAAATTTACAAAGAGCTGTACTGCCAATTGAAGTTCTTTACTGTCAGCCACACATTTAAACGATTAACTGTGCATTATTTAAGCTTGTTGTAACCGAAACAATGCATTTTCATTTATAGGTGCATGGTGTATACTCTTGAGATGCAATCCCTTGTGATAATTTGCCCGTAGATTATAATAGCGATTTCGGCTTGTATGTATATGCGAAAACATTGTCTGACTTACATTGTGTTGAGGTTGCCTCAATCTTTACAGTATTAGACGATTTGCTGTCCATCTTAATATATTTTGTAAGTGAATTCTTCGGTTTTTACTACTTGTTTTTTTCTGCCGACGTTTTACGCTTTAATGTTTTTTCCCTCTGCCACATGTTTTGTAATGGCTTTTATAAATTATTTCTATTTTATTTGTGGTAAGTAATTAACTACACTTATCGAGTTTTCCATTACCTCTAATTTGTTATATCAATGTCTGTATTTAGCATTTTTTGTTTTATTTTACTGGTGTTAAAACTCCTCAACAAAGCTAACCAAAGGCGAGTAAGTACGGACGTGTTACAGAGGTTTCATGCAGTGAGTTGATCCCCTAAGAGGATTACTAAGTCTAAGTTCTGTTTCTTGTTTTTTAGTCATTCGATCCATTCTAAGACTATCATTATAGGTATACACAAAATTATATTCCGAAAGAAATTAATATAATATTACCCTAAATATCAATTCCTCTTTTGATCAAAACTTGAGTCCCCATGGATCAAATTCCATTTCGCTTTCAAGAAGCTGTTCCCTTCTGATGTGGTAATTCATCCGATTGCCCATTTTTTCCATCGTCTTCTTTGCTCATTATCAAATATTTTTAAACAGCATTCATATCAGACTAATTCTTTTCGACATTGCGCCACTTGTTTCTTAGTAGCACCTGTGATTAATTTTTAACCTAACTTTGAATTTAATTCAATTTAAATATGCAAAATCTCGCATGTGTTCATAGTGAATTTGTGTGAAATACCTCCTTAATTATGCGATTAATAATTTGTTATAGGTGTCGAATACACCACTAATCTTATATTTTGCATGACCAAATAACATCGATGAGCGATCACGTTGGTTGGAATAGCAGTGAAAGTGTACCTTGGCCAAATTTATTCCACAAACGGATTTTATAAATAAATAAATAAATAAGTACGACTAAAGCTATTAGGCGAGAACATTGATTGTTGATTGGCTGAGGTGTCTCTGAGCGAACCATACGAGAGTTGCATGTTTGGAGTTCTAGAAGATTCCACCGCGCACGAGATCAATTCAAATGATGATATTAATACAGAAAATTGAAAAAAACCATTCCAGTTTATTAGTTTGATATCTAAATGGATATCTAACAAAAACCCAATTATTGAGAAAGTCAAAAATATAAATCATGTTCCCCTACTCATTACATGGCCCATAAGCTTTGCAGATACTGAGGTACTACAAGGAAAATTTGCAGTGCTATTTGCATTTAAATATCAATTAAAATATTTTTTAATAAATCTCACCTAACTCTGCCTTGCAAATACAATAGCACAATTGTGTACACTTGTCCCATTTTCTATTACCTATCAGTAGCTATAATACCAGTAAAATACTATCGTGTTTAACAATTAAAAAAGGTAGATATTTTACTTAAATCTGCACTTAGCGAACATGCGGATCCGGCTGTTAACTATTAAACCTCAAAATACACGAATTTTTAATTACGACAGAACTAATTTACCACATATTTATGTTAATTAAAACAGCATTGACAAGATCATGTGTAATCATACTAGTGAATTCAAAAGCACTTCCTCCAACGGGCATATATGTCGATGGTGTAGATATTTCAACGTGCCAGCATTGTCAACAGTGCTTGTTTTAGCAAGAATTTCACAGCCTTTCGACTGGTTTTCGAAGTTTTTCTGACATGTCTACGCATGTAGGCCTCACCCATGGCTATCAGTCGTTGTAATATAAAATCTTACCC